GTTACCTAAGGCAACTATAAAGAAACTAACGACCGCGGTAGTTAAATTTTGGTGGAGCCCTGGAGGAAGTACAAAAGGGATGCATTGGAAATCATCGGATAAATTATGTATAGATAAGGATGCAGGAGGTTTGGGTTTTAAGGATCTCGAGGATTTCAACACGACTATGCTGGCCAAACAACTTTGGCGCCTTATTGAGAAACCAAATACTTTGTTTTCTCGTGTTTTTAAAGGTCGGTACTTTAGGAATGCGTCACCGCTAGAACCGATCCGATCATATTCTCCGTCATATGGCTAGAGAAGTATGATCTCAGCTAGATCTATGGTTAGCAAATGACTAATTAAATGGGTGGGATCTGGATCATCCATCTCAGTATGGAATGATCCATGGCTCCCAACCACTCGCCCGAGACTAGCAAATGCAAATCAACAAATCTTTTCTTCGTATCTCACAGTGGATTCTCTCATTGATACGGACACGCGGACTTGGGATATGCCAGTTATTCGAGCTCTAGTGGATCCTCAGGATGTGAAAATAATAGAAAGCATCCCACTCAGTCGGATCCATATGGAAGATCAAGTTGGATTGCATTTCACTAAGAGCGGAAAATACACAGTTAAGTCAGGATATCAAGTGGAAAGAGTGTACCCGGATAAGGAAAGTCCGACGGAGATCCAGGGGCCTACGGTGGATGCTTTAAAAGCATTTTCTTGGAAGGTAAGGTGTCCTCCCAAGATAAAGCATTTCCTCTGGCAGATGCTATCGGGTTGCATTGCGGTTAAGAAAAATCTAAAGGCAAGAGGGATAAAGGGTGACATATTTTGTGACAAGTGTGGCGCTGCCGAAGAATCGGTTAATCATGTGTTCTTTGAATGTCCACCAGCACGTCAGATTTGGGCATTGTCAAATATTCCTTTAAATCCAGTCACTGCCCCCACAAAGTCGCTCTTTACGAATTTGGACCATCTATTCTGGAGGGTTTTTCCTAAGATGGCTGACCATCACTACGCATGGATATTGTGGTACATTTGGAAAGGGATAAATAGTAAATTTTTAGTAATTTGGATGTTGATCCAAAAGATACCCTTACATTGGCGGAGACGGAAGCCACTCTTTGGGAAGAGGCTCAAATAAAAGCACCTCAGGGCGAGACGCTTTCCGGAGAGGTCGCAGCTATATCGACTATACCAGGACGTTGGTGTTTTATTGATGGTCCATGGAAGGATAAGGACGTATTTGATGGACATGGATGCTATAGCACTCTTGAAGGTTTTGTGGGTTTAATGGGAGCAAAAAATGTTAGAGCCAGCCTCTCACCTCTTCATTCTGAGGTAGAAGCCCTTATCTGGGCAATGGAGAATATGAGAAATTTGTGCCAATATTTTGTTACTTTTGCAACAGATTGTTCTCAGTTGGTGAAGATGGTTTAAGAACCAGCCAAATGGCCAGCTTTTGCAACTTATCTGGAAGATATCAAGTCGCTTCAAGGGAATTTCCACAACTCGGCAATCATCTATGTACCAAGGACACATAATTCACGGGCGGATAGTCTTGCACGAAGTGCGAGGAAACAATCGTCTTTTGTTGTTCACATGGATTCAGAGCTTCCGGTTTGGTTTGCAGAGTCCATATAAGTCTGTTATGTTGATGTCAAAAAAAAATATCTTTTGGTAATTGAAACCTTTTTCTAACAACTGAACAAAGTTTTAATTAAATCTAAAAAAAAAACACAAAAACATTTTATAGATTGAAAAGGTTTTTTAAAAAAAAGTGAAAAAGGTTTTGAAAATTTTAGTAACCAGTAAAAGTTTTATAAATTATCAAAACTTGAAAACAAATATAAACTTAAAATGTTTTATAAAAAGCTTAAAACATTATAAAAATTTATAAAAACGTTTTGAAACAATAAAAGATAGTAAGAACTTGAAAACATTATATATATAAATATAAATATATATATATATATATATATATATTTAAAACATTTTATCTATATCCAATAATTATAAAAAACGTTTTGTAAATATATTTAACATAAAGAAAACATTTTCTAAAAATATTTACAGATAAACCATAATCTACAAATCTAAAATTTTCAATCTACATATAAATTACAACCTAACGAAATCTAACAACATATAACTCCTAAAACTATCAATTCAATCCTAAATCTTTAGATTCAAAACCTAAAATCCACAAATCTAACATTCCAAACCTATAAACAAAAATCTAAAGAGGCATTCAAAGACTTACATGTTTAGAGAAGATATTTTGGAGGAGATTTTATTGGAATCGGCGGTTTTTGACAGAGAGAGGAGGGAGAGCCGCGGAGGAAAGAAGAGAAGAAGAGAAGAAAATGAGGGAGAAGAAGAAGGGTAGGTTTATATATTAAACATATACCGATGAACACATTCTGTCGGAATTCCTTCGGTTTCTTTTTACGCGGTATACGAAATTATTTGGCGAATATTCTTCCCGGGTAAAAGTAAAATATTCTGACGAAATTCTGACGAAAAACTTGCCGTCGGTAACAATCCGTTAGAATTTCGTCAGAATACTCGCGAATATCGATAAAGCAAGCCTCGAGAATCTTTGACTCTCTGCACTTCTTTTGATTGGTCGAGGATAGAGTCCGTCGGAATTTCGTCGGAATAATCCATCGGAATTTTGTCAGTATTATCTGTCGGAATTTCGTCGATATATTTTGTCGGAATGTCATCGATATTATCGATGAAATTCCGACAGAATTCCGAGAAAAATGAATTTTGAAGTTTCATATCAACAAGCTCCAAGCACATACAAACCATTGCTAGTGTGTAAATGATTTACATGAGGTATAACTTAAATATTTATTTGTTTCACACACACTCTATTATACAAAATCAAAATCTAGTCTTATGTTCCCATAGTATGTTTGCATAAGTATAAGTATTATTGGAGGATGTTACGAATACGTTAATACGTATACGAATATTTTTGTTATATGAAAAACATGATGAAGCCTTTATATATGAACTAATTTTGTATTATAATTATATATATGTCTTATATGGATATTTTAAGTATCCAATTATAAATTTTTAGACAACTTTGCAAATCTAAAATTATGGTCGTCGGTATTCCGTTGAAATTTTCCTACGGAATTTCGACGACCTTCAAACCCATATCGAAATCCTAAAATTTTCTCTAATCAATTTTTTAAATTTCACTTCAAACCCTTATCAATTTTTTAAAACAATTAGTTTTCACTTCTAAATGGATATATATATATATATATATATATATATATATATATCAATTTTTAAATAATAATAATTTTATCATATATTAGTTTTTCATCGAATAGATTGTTTCAAACCTTCACATGTATTTGTATCTTCTTTTATATATATTTTTTTGAATTATTATTTCATTATCAAAGTCGTAAATATATGTAAAGATTGGTAAAATATTGTTTTATTCTTATGTTTAACGATATTGTAATATTTCTCAAATTTAGAAAGTTTAACAAAAATAGAAATTTTTAGCTCCATATTATGGAGTAAATAACTAAACATTTAAGTTTTGTTATTTTTAAAATAAACTATATAAATTTAAAAATGTTTCTATTGGTTAGGGTAATATAGCTTAATCATTGTTAGAAAATGATGATTTTTGTTATTTTAAAAAATAAAGTATATAATTTTAAAATTGAACATCGACAAATATATTATAAATAATTAACTGATGAAGATATACTATTACAACATTAAATCATATCCATTTAATTTAAACATGTGTTTTATTATATTATATATAAATCAAATGGGTTCTCCAATTATTGTTATCTCAATTAAATTTTTGGGTAAGCCCAAAATTATATGTAACTAATTTTAAGATTACTAATTAATGATTGAATAACATAATGTGATAAATTCTAGTAGATAGTCTATTTTAAATATCACACATTAAAAGAGTCATGACTTCTCTTTTAATATATTAGATGCTAATTATTTTAAATCCACACGAATGACATGTTATCTCTTTTTTAGTCAAGCTGAGATGACATGACAGTTTATAGATTTCTTATTGGTAGATTATTTTATCTAATGTGGACATTTTGATAGGATTTCAGTTTAGTATTTTTTACTTAGTATACATATATGTATATTATCTTTGTAATCCGATGATCGTTTATTAATATATTTTTTTTGAAAAGAAAATATTTTTGAAAAGCAGTCTATTATTATGTTCAACAAATATGTGAACTAATACACTGTTAGTATTTTAAGTAGTATATTTATAATATTCACTTATAGATCTCAATCTTATGGTGCCAGAGACTTTTGCATTTTTGGGAGGCTTTATTTTTTTGAGATTATAAAGAATTCATGTGGTAATATCCATAAAAAATATTTTGTGTTTGTGGCATTTTTGGCTTTACAATTTATAAAAGAGACAGTAGAAAAGTAAAATGAGAGTCCAACAAACTAATGAAAACTAAAAGTTCAATCAAAGCCCATAAACACGGCTTAGTAAGAAGAATAGCCGAAGAAGATATGTCCAAAACCGGCGGTAAACCATAAACCTGAACACATCTTTCACGTCTTAGTTTGAACTCTCGAAGACCCAAACGGCTCCTTTACGTCTTAAGTAACCCAAAAACTTGTCTTTTAAGAAAGGTGCACATCGAACACACGGCAATTTGACGATGAAATTTTATTCAACGCGTTTAGACTGATCCATCTCAGATTACTTCATTTTAATCTGTTGTTTAGTATATTTTTTTATGTAGTCTACGTTTTGATTACATAAAACCAAACAGCTCTTACACGTTATTTAAATAATAAAATGTTTCTCAAGAAATATGTAGATCAAGACACCCCCAATTTGACAATTAAAAAAACGTTCCACGCGGTAAGACTTATCCATCCCCGAGGTCACAATCAGCGACATCAGCGTCCACTCAAAATCTCCGTGGACAGTTCAGTAAAAGCATAACCAACGTACGAGATCCTCTCACGTCCATTGTAAACCTCACGGTAGCAGATCATATACATCAAATTTATTAGTTATATAATTCAAAACCCTAAAAGACCTATTTTATCCATCTTCTTCTTCTTCTTGATTACTTTCCTTAAATCCTCTAAATCTTAACGTTACTTTCTTATTGCGTTTCCACATGGCTTCCATTATCTGCTGTTCTGCTCCATTCATGATCCGAGCATCTTCCGGATCCACGAAAAACCCGGATTCAAACCGCAAGAAATCTGTTTCTTGGTGGGCTCCTCTCTTCGGCATACCCTCCGATCCGGACTATCTCAACATCGAAAGCTCTACTCTGGAACCGAATCCGGTTCAAATCGATGTTTCTGAGTCGGGTCAGGATTCGGGTCAAAAGCTTCGACGTCGCGGTTGTCTCACGGAGGAGAAAGCTAGGGAGTTGAGGAAGAAAATAGCCGAAGGTTCCACGTTCCACGAAGTTATGTATCATTCAGCGATTGCGTCTAGGCTTGCTTCTGATATCTCCGGTCGGGTCAAGGATTAAAACGGATCCGGGTCGCTGTTCTTCAGATCTGGAGATCATCAATTTGTCGAATCAAAATGTTTCTCTATTAGTTGTCGGGTTATCTTTAGGTTTCAAACCATCTACTGTCGGTGCTTGTTTTTTCATTAGAACCGTTGGATTGGGTATTGTCTTTTGTGTTGTAAAGAACCGTTGGTTCGTTAGTTCATTAATTAATCACCGTTAGTTTCTGTTACCTTTTCCTTTTACCGTAACAAACTGTTGGATCTCTCTCTCTCTCACTTGTTAAATAGCTCTTTGAAATCCAACACTAAAAACTAAATCTAACTGATGATTTTGAAGCTTTTGTGTAAGTCTATGTTTTAAATGGTGCACCAGGTCGGTTTTGAGATTTCGGGGTCTCTTACAATTTCTATGTGAAAAAAAAAATTAGAAGGCCTAAATATTTTGTTTGAGATTTATAAATTTTCTTCAAAATTTTTGGGGGCCTGAAGCGAATGTTTCACTAAATATGTCCTAGGCTGGCTTTATTGGTGCATGGTGATCCAATGCAATGAGGTATGTGCCTTGTGTCCTGGCGCAAGAAAGCGCTCGCCTTTGAAACCAACTTGAAGAATACGTTAGTTATGACTTGTTATGTTTCCGTGTTTAATATACAAATTCCATTCACGTGATTGTGTCTTTATTAAAGAGTTTTTATCAGAAGAAAACCCCATGAGATTAAAAAAGAGAGTATCTACTAACCTTAAGCAAAAACATACTCCGTGAAATCCATATTTTGTTAAGTTTTAAACTTTTTTTTATAAAATGCCAAGCTAGAGTTTTGATAAGTTTTCAGACGTTTGGTTTTAAGTTTGGTTTAAAGTTATTAAATTAGGGTTTCTACAGTTTTATATTTGATTTTGGTATATACGATTTTACGTGATGTATATTTTTGTAAATAACCACAGGTCGGTTTGTTTTTTACCCGAAATCGAACGGATACCTATTTTTAACTGAATTCTATGTAAAAATACATAAATTGCAATACTACTAGACTACTTCAACATTATTGTAATGATTTTCATATTGTTTAGTTTTCCTTTACAAAAAAAAAAAATGGAAAAATAAATAAAACACAATATTTCAGTTTTAAAGTTGTATAACCAAACCGACCCAGAACCAGTCAAAACCGATCTAACCGAACTGTAAGTCGACCAATTACTCATTGGATATAATTTTTAAATAATCTATTCACTCGGAACCGAATGGATCTTACATGGAAGTGGTCCGAATACCCAAGTCCCAGCCCTAGTGTGCACTATTTTGTAAATTCAATTGGTTAACATTCTTCTCCAAATGTGTAAAGTGACTGAATTCAAAATGTAAAGAAACATATTTGCAATTTTTGTGAGATGGGACACATATGTAAATCTGAAATACAGGGTCACTGATGCAAACTTTGCAAAACTATAGGACGTAATTTCGAAATATAATTTATGTGTGTGTTTTTAATTTATTTAATTGTCTTTCAACATTAGAAGTCATCTCCCCCAAAATCCCTAGAAACAAGTTACTGTTTGTACCAAGTAAAGCATCGGCTACTTCTCTCTTATTTGTCTGTAGAATTCTCAGGAAGCAGCATTAAACTTTAGCTGCAGATTTCTCTTATCAGTTGTAGATTCGATCAAAGTTTTATTAGATTCGGGATTTTCCTCCCAATATATTTGTATAAAACTAGAGAGAAGTTTGGACCCTTTTTGAAAAAAAACCATATTGTTCAATCTGAAAGGATTTGATAGTTATTCTTAGGGTTTGGTTTTGTTTCCACTGTCGTGTTATTTGAATATATATATATATATATATATATATATATATATATGGATAAGAAAAAGGTCGCCGTTCCACTTGTCTGCCATGGCCATTCAAGACCTGTTGTTGATTTGTTCTACAGTCCTATTACACCTGATGGTTTCTTCCTCATCAGTGCCAGTAAAGGTAAATGCTTTAGATCACAATTGGAGTAGTTCATGAGATTCACATTGAAACCTACAAGTTTAAAATGTGTCTCTTTCATTACAAGAAGAACTGGTTCAGAACTCCTTATTACATCTATGTTTTGTTTATTCGGGTTTTATAGATGGATTAGGTTTTGTGGTACAAACTGAACACTCCTTTGCTCTGCACTATGTGCCTACCTATTCTGCTGTTAACATGCTTGGATTACTCTTACCGATTGAATAAATTGTAACTCTTTTTTTGTTTACAAGAACTGCTTCAGATGTTCTTTTTGGTGGGTTTTGTAAATGGATTAGCTTTTCAACATTTGTGGTGGTATGCAAAGTGAACAAGTGTATGCTCTGTATTGTGTGCCTATGTGGTGTTAACATGCTCGAATGAATGACTCGTATTAGTTTTGCATTGATGTATGAATCTGAGAATAATCATGTCTTTATGCGCTTAGATTCAAATCCAATGTTGAGAAATGGAGAGACTGCAGACTGGATTGGTACTTTTGAAGGTCATAAAGGTGCAGTCTGGAGTTCTTGCCTCGACAACAATGCGCTACGTGCTGCATCTGCATCAGCTGATTTTTCAGCGTAGGTGTTTTGGTTCCATTACCATGTTTTTTTAAATGTATTACCTTGGCCTAGAACTTAATCATCCAACTGTGGTACTTACTCGTTCAGGAAACTTTGGGATGCGTTAACAGGAGATGTGCTGCATTCTTTTGATCACAAGCATATTGTTCGAGCATGTGCCTTCTCAGAGGTTCGTTTCAAGTTATTTACACTCTATTTCTGTCACCTAATGTATGCGGTTCTAAGTTTTCTTAATAGACATAATCTTCTGTATCTCTTTGCTTGGACTAGAGTGAACTGTTGTGGGCAAGTTTATTATGAAATAGCTTTAATCTAGCATTTAGTGTACGTAATTTCTAGTTGAATGCTTTGCGGATTTGGTTTCCTACTTCATTGGACTATGCTTGACCCCTTTTTGTTTGGGGATGGTTTCTCATCTTTCATACTTAAGCATTACTTACTAACTTATTGCTATGTGTCTAAACCATTTCTCTCTTACTATTAGGATACAAAATTGCTGATCACTGGAGGATTTGAGAAGATTCTCCGTGTCTTTGACTTGAATCGGTTGGATGCACCTCCCACGGAAGTCGATAAATCTCCTGGATCCATCAGAACTCTCACATGGCTTCACAGTGACCAGACGATATTAAGTTCTTGCACTGATATTGGTGGCGTAAGGCATGAACTATATGA